AGCGCTCTATTATGTATGCAGTGAGTTTCCACATTGATCCCATGGGCCAGCCTGAACATCCGCCGGTGACCTACTCGCACATGCATTTTCTCCAATATGTACGTCCAGCGTTCTCCATCCTCCGGCGCCTTGACTACAGCTCTGCACAGGAAGTTTGGCCAGTGGAGAAATGGTCATGCTTAACTGAGCCTGGTTACTCTTAAAGTTTTTTTTACTTCACATTGGTAAATTGGTAAAGTTAATCTAATAAACCTGTCACCATTCACTGCCATTACATTAATCACCAAGCACCACAGACTCAGCTCAAGATTATTTTAAAGGTCCCATAAAATTATAATAGAGTTTTTAGATGTTAGTATTAGTATTGTTTGTTTTTAGGATATCTATAAGCTAGTGCGCTCCAAAACACTGACAAAATGTGTGTTTAGTAGATATAAACAGAATTCCACAGAAGAATATTCCACAGAAGAAGAAAAAAATCACCTACTTATATCACCCAAAAATTACAGTTCTATCAATGTTTACTCACAATTTACTTGTTCAAAACCTATTTGAGTTTTTTTTTTCTCCTGTTGAAGACAAAAACAGACATTTTGAAGAATGCTGGTAGCTGACACCCATTGACTTCCATAGCAATTTTTATTTCTATTATGGAAGTCAATATTCTTTAAAAGATCTTCTTTTGTGTTCAACAGAAGAAAAAATAAAGGTCATAAAGATTGAAAACTAGGGTAGCGCAATACATTGCAAAGTTATCATTATAGTGATAATATTATATGCAATATGCATATATGCACAGACATGTGTGATGATTAACATGTATTATATGCATTTCTTTCTCTCAAGATCGTTTATATCAAAGTTGATATTTAGCCACACCATGTTGGTGTTTCGTAATATCTCATTTTTACAAGGTGGGTTGTTAGCCCAATGCTCAGCCCCCAACCTGGAAGACCAGGACATACACTACAGCCAATTGAGCTTACCCAATTCACCTACAGCACATGTCTTTGGACTTGAGGGGGAAATCGAAGCACCCGGAGGAAACCCACGCCAACACGGGGAAAACATGCAAAAAAAACTCCACACAGAAATGCCAACTGACCAAGCTGGGACTCGAACCAATGACCTTCTTGCTGTGCCGCGCATAATACGCATTATCATATGATGATGATGATGATATACGTTTATCTAAATTTGACCAGTCAGATCGGGCATTACCATGTTTATCCCCACCTCCCCAGTAGTTATCGTTCAGCTATTAGCTGGAGGGGCACAAAAAGCGAACCTTTAGCTGAAAATAAATGTTAATATCAGTGTTTCCTCTAGGATTTTTTCCAGCTGTGGCAGCAGGCCTTTTTTACTCAGATCTACCAATACCTGTGGCATTATTTCAATGACAAATGTCATGAGCGCAGTGTTACAAGTCGAGATCGCATTTATGTAATAGCCTACGAACAAGTGAATCTCTCTGCTTGCACGCCGATTTCCTCTGCTCGTGCACAAAACTTCTTACACTCCCCCCTCAAATATACGCTGCTCAAACGCAGATCTTCTTGTGCGCTCTCAAATAAACACTGCTGAAGTGCGATTTAGTGCATTTATGAAGCAACCATGTCTCCAACATTTATTAGATTTGCTAGGAATATTTATGAATGTCTCTAATAGACCTACAGAGCATTATTAATGCATCCTGAAGTCAAGTGAAACGGCTACACGTTGTGTTTGCTTGCCACACACATCACGCTCCTGTCAGTCAGTCAGTCAGCACATAACCCTAAAGGGTTAAACAAATGATGCACAGCACTACTACAGTTACAGAAAAGTTTGCGCTGTTATAATTCACTTACCTTTTAATACAATTTGGTGTGACTGAATATTTTGAATGAAAAGCTGTAACGTAGCTGTTGCGGGATAAATTTTGGCATGGCACCTCGCCATGGAAGCAAGAATATAGCGGAAGCCATCTAATAGCAGAGTCAATACAAGACAGGAAAAGGACAACAGCCAATCAGCGTCAGAATAACTGCTGATATGTGTTAAAGACTACATTTTTGCATTATTTTAATTTAAACTAGAATAAACAAGATGTGAAAAATAAATTGTACCTTAATAAAATAAAATAAAAATCACATTTTCGGAGGAAATGTGAGATCTTATGAAATATTGTCATCACAATAGTGAACAACAGTATTTCCATCATTCATTTTCCTTTGGCTAAGCCCATTATTTATCAGGGGTTGCTACAGGGGAGTGAACCGCCAACTATTCCAGCATATGTTTTACGCAGCGGATGCCCTTCCAGCCACAACCCAGTACTGGGAAACACTCATACCCTCTCACATTCACACACACTCATATACTATAGCCAATTAATTAATTTATTCACTTTTCTTCAGCTTAGTCCCTTATTAATCAGAGGTTGCCACAGGAGAATGAACCGCCAACTATTCCAGCATATGTTTTACGCAGCGGATGCCCTTCCAGCCACAACCCAGTACCGGTAAAGACTAATTCACACACTAACTACAACCAATTTAGTTTAACAATTCCCCTATGGCGCATGTGTTTGGACTGTGGGGGAAACTAGAGTACCCCAGAGGAAACCCTCGAGAACACGGGGAGAACTTGCAAACTCCACACAGAAATGCCAACTGGCCCAGCTAAGACTCAAACCAGCAACCTTCTTACAACATTTTAGATTTCAGATGTGAGTAAATGATAGGGAATTTCTTTCTGGGATGTCTTTAAACTGCCTAAAACAGGGATTGTGGACACATTTGTCCTGCATGCATTATTCATTAATAGTGTTTATTTGTATATGTGGCATTTGATTAATGCAGAGGAGCAGGTGAGCGGGTATGAAATATTGATTCACTCATTCACTTGTTGATCTTTTTATGTGACGCCGCTTCTCTTTTGCTGCATTGATTTAGTTAAAGCGACATCATTAACAGCTCTTCAAATATTCCTTCTGAAGCCTCCAGACAGAGAGAGCCCAATGAACGCCCCGGCTTCAGACGAGCGATGCATGAGAATTTGCGCTCCTGAAAATGTTTAGCTGAAAATAAGCTATTTAGTTTGGTTTATTATGAATCTGATCACCAATGATGTATTAAAATGAAAGAAAAATTTCAATATACATTTTTGTTAAATGTAAGATGTTTAAAGGGAACCAGGGAGCGTGTGTGTGAGGTTTCAGTTTAAAATGCCACACTAATAATGTTTTATAACTCTCTGATACTGACCCTTTTAGGCTTTGATCCTAGTTGTGGTGTTTTAGTGACTTTCGCTTTAAATTCAAATAAGATTGTGCTCTTTTCAAAAGAGGGCGGAGCTACACATGCCTATTTGTCGGCATAGTTGCACATTCAAAATAAGACTAACATCCTATGCTATTGAGGGAGAGATGGTCACTAGTGGGCGGAGCTTTCCCCCTCTGATGACACGCTCAAAGTGAAAATGTCAATCGAAGTGTTTCTGCAGACTGTTTTTATCAAGTTTGATGATAAAAAATAACATTTAGTAATTTTAACCATTATAAGCTGGCTATATTCAAACACTGCTGCCGCACAGATATGTTCAAACCTCTTATAAAAGTGATTTTTGCACAATAGGTCCCTTTTAACAAAAAATCTCTCATGACAACTGTTAAAAATCACTGCAATATCCCAGAAAAAAAATAACTGAAAATATTAGCAATATATATATTAGCAATACATTTTTAGATGCAATAATAAAAACAAAAAGGAAAATATATGAGTGCCTTCAAAAGGTGATTATTGCAATAATTTGACATTTAAAATGCTATAGTAATTAACAGAAGAATGGCCATTTTTTACATTTTAATGACCACAGGTACTGTATTAAACCATGAAAACATTAAATATATATTAATAAATGCAAACATATTCTACAACATGATATAATATCATAGAACATTATATTAAATATCTTAGTCAGAGATATAAGATGAGTCAGATTTTGTATCAAATCTTCAGTAGTTTTTAATCAAAATACCTAAAACACACACTGAATCTATTCACATTTTTCTGCACATGACTTTTATGTAGGCGACACAGTTTGCAATGCATGTTCTACCCGTGTTGGCATGGGTTTCCTCTGGGTGCTCCGGTTTCCCCCACAGTCCAACACCTGCGCTATAGGGGAATTAACTAAATTGGCTGAGTGTATGTGTGAATGAGACTGTATAGGTGTTTCACAATACTAGGTTGTGGCTGGAAGGGCATCCACTGCATAAAAACATATGCCGGAATACTTGGCCGCTTATAAATTAAGGAACTAAGCTGAAAAAATTTAATGACTTTGTGTTTCCAATTAGGGTTTGCACTTCCATTAGAAAAAAATAATAATTATTAATTTAATAAGCTTGTACTATAAACCATATACAAAAAGAAAACTGAGTGAGAGAAATGTTTAGCTGAGTGAATTGTTTTTAATTTTGTCCATCTTGAAAATAACGTTACGTTTAATATTTCAGACATCAGCATCATCAGCTAGGATCCCTAGTATCTGTGGCCAAAGCACTTTAGAGTTCACTGTTATTTGTTTCTCCTTTATTTTCTCTTTGTATTCCCTAAAGTACATCAATATTCAATATTTCCATAATATTGCAGTGCGAAGACTTGTTTTGAGTCTCTCGTGGGCTGCTGAAAGTTATTTGTTAAAAGAGCAGGTCATATGGGTTTTCAAAAAAAACGACTTATTTGCTGTTTATGAAATAGCTGTCCTATAATCTAATCAATTTGCTAAGTTGTTCATCAAAAAAAGCTTGATAAATAAAAATATTGTCTAACAAAAGTTGGCTCTGAATCACTATACTTATATTATGAATCTTTTGTCTTCTACCTGCGAT